GTTAAAAATATTTTCGGTGGTTGTTCTTCTGTTTAAAATAAACTTAACGAGATCTGCGAATATTTTGGCAGTTTTTCCGTATCCTTCCATAAGTCACCAACTAGTATTTCAGCCATTGATTGAAAAGTTGGTTTTGTTGGAACATAATGTGACGGTCATTACTCCATATCCTCAATATAAAAAGGAAGAAGCCCCTATTAATTTAAAAGAAATAGATGTGCAAGATGTAAGTTATAAAATATACCGAAAAGTATTTAATTCTGATTTATATAACGATCAAAGGCATAGACATAATCAAATGAAGCTTGCTCTTAAGATTGCGTCAGAGGTATTTGAAGGTCAGATGTTAAATGAACAAGTTCAAGAAATACTCAAGGTAGTCAATGAAAATTTTGACATAATACTAATAGAAGCTTTTCTAAAAGTGTGCCTAGGACTATCGCACATCTTTAAAGGACCAATTATCCAGATAAGTTCTTTGGGTCCTGTCCCGTATAATCAAGATTCATATGGGATCCCGGATCATCCAATTTTGTACCCATCATTTTGGAATCGTAGAATTTATAACCTAACAGTGTTTGAAAAAGTTTACGAACTTCAGATGAATGAATGGTGGATAAAAAATATAAGAGACGAGCTCGAAATAGAAGAAAATAGAATAGTAAGGAAGGTTTTTGGACCAGAAACTCCAAATATAAATGAGTTAAAACAAAATGTTGATATGCTGTTTTTGAATATCCATCCGATATTCGTTGATAATCAACCTGTTCCTCCCGATGTCATATATGTAGGAGGGATGCACATAAAGCCTAGAAAGGAATTGCCAAAGGTCGGTATTAACTTGTGGTCTTTTTATATTTATATTTTTTAATTTTATCTGTATATCGGAATATTAAGTCTCTTTCTATGTAACAGGATTTAAATAGAATATTGGATGCTTCAAAAAACGGGGTTATTTATTTTAGTATGGGTACTAATGTTAAGATGTCACATTTACCGTCTGAAACAGTCCAAATGTTTATAAATACTTTTTCAAGCTTACCGTATGATATTTTATGGAAATGCGATGAAGACATACAAATAACATCGAAAAATATCAAAATATTTAAATGGTTTCCACAATCAGATCTTTTAGGTAAGGGAGTTGAGATTAATAACTTACTAATTCTTTTTATATACATAGATTTTAAGGTGTTATGAAAAAATATAGGAGATATAAAAAAAAACAGAAGTGACTTCATTTATTTGAATTCGTAATGATTTTCAAATCAGTTTTTAAAAAAATATTGTATTATTTTGTAAAAAATATTTTATTTTTTAGCACATCCAAAAGTTAAACTTTTTATAACCCAAGGAGGTCTTCAATCTACAGATGAAGCCATAAACGCTGGAGTACCTCTTATAGGTATACCTATGATAGCTGATCAATGGTATAATGTTGAAAAATATGTACTTCATAATATTGGTCTCAAACTTGATATATTTACGCTAACTAAAGAAGATTTGATCAGTGCTATTGAAACAGTCATAACAAATAACAGGCAAGAATCATATTATGAAAATAAACGACATACAGAAATAACATAAGTGTATAAAAATATTTTAATAAGTTTTTTATTTTAGCTTTCGCCAAAACATATTGCGTTTACGCGCTCTAATGCAAGACCAGAAGGAAAAACCATTGGAGAGCGCTGTCCGTTGGATAGAATATACTCTTCAACATGGTGAAGCAAAGCATATGAGATCTGGTGCAGCAAATTTAACTTGGCAGCAGTATTATGAGCTGGAAATAATTATTACAGCTGTAATAATTATATTAATATTATTGGGACTATTTTCGGCATTAGTGTATTTTATCACACAGTTTATTTTAAAACTATTTAAACAAAAAATAAAATTAACTTGAAATGTTAAATACAAAAATTTCAAACTTTTAACAAAAAATGCTATAGGAGTATAAAAACTAAGAGTTAAGTACATTTTAAAATTATAATTTTTTTTAAATTCTAAACATATGATTTATTTTAGAAAAGTCAAATAACGTTATTTTAACATGCTCCCATTCAATTCGTATATTGTACTTTTACAAACTTTGATAATTATATTTAACTTGCATTTTGTAGATAGGTAAGTCATGCAAAATAATTTTAATATTAGGTATTTTCCCTAAACAGAAATTATGCACTCATGTTTATTTAAACTATCAAAATAATATTGTTAAAATATTATATGTGTTGAATTATTTATAGTCTTTACATTAATATGACATAAATTAAAGATCTTCCAGATGTAAAGAGTAATTGTAGTGGTTTTTATTCTAAGACTCCTTTTGTTTCACAGCTTTCAGCCTAACACCTCACTTCACTTGAGGTTTTAATTTTAATGAGTTCATGTTTGAATGGATTCTGTTATGTAAAAAATATTTATAAACTTTGGATTTATTTCAATAAATTAGTTCGTGATTACTACTTCATTATTCGATATTGTTAATAGGTTTTTGTATCTTTTTCTTGCCTTCAAATTAAACAATAAATCCTTAGCTTTTTTCACCTATCTAAAATATTTTCATCCGTATCCTCCATTTTAATTTTTAAAAATTTCTCCATCAATTAGCACATGTTACCTGAAATTTAAAGGGAAATTGATTTAATAATTGTTAGATAGATTTAAAAAACTTCATTAACGTCTGAATTTTGAGATCCTTTTGAATTTTTAAGATTGCTAACATTTTTATAGGATTTTTTGACCCAGCAATAAAGTTTAATTAATCCTTATGGGACATTAGCATGAATGACTACATATTTTAATAATGTCGTTGGATTGCATCACGTTATCCTCACTATATGTTTTTTGTTACACATAAATATATATGAGTACAATTGTGTTAATTTAGGTTTAGTTAGCTAGTTAGGCTAGTGAAGACTATAGTTAGCTATTAGGCTAGTGAAGACGATGCAAGTAATATTATACTCAAATCTAACATGTTTTGAATCTATTGCTACTTGTAACTCATGGTTGTTATTAAATTAATTATTTTTGTATTTATAACAGACTTTGTCTAATTTAGATAAATATCTATATTTAAATAAATATTTAATTAGCGAAAAATGTTCAAAATATGTTGGTGTCTTGTTTCTTTGTGTTCTAATACGATTTTAAAATTGCTCAAATAGTTAATGTTACTTTATAGCTTAAAAAATCGAAGGTTTTGTCATTGACTCTCTAACTGACTTATGGAAAAAACGTTTTACCCATTGTGATAAACTTGCTACTGAGGATTAGGGTAAACGATTAGACAGTGTAAAGTGAAAGAAAGTTATAATTAGTGCCAATAAAGAAATTAAAAGTGCTACCGTGAAATAATACCATTACAATTTACAGTTAGGTTGCGTTTCAAACCATATTATTTTGTATCAAAGGACCAGCATTTTCCGGATTCAAAACTCTTGATATAGTAAATCTCATGAATCTCCACTTACCTCTGGTCAAGGCACAAGATTCTATATCATAAACCAAGATTCTGGATATTATAATATTATACACCAGCCACTTAAAACCTCGTCATGACCAAATAAAAAATGGAATGGTCTCTAGTAAGACAACTGCATTAAAATAAACTTTAAATTCAAAGATACAAGAACATTGCAAGTAGCATAAAAAAATATACAAATTGAACATACAAAATGAGTAATAATATAATAACTAATATCTTAATAGTCCATTTTCCGAAAGTGTATGCACATATATATTCTTGATCGTAAGCTTTAACATATTAAACGATAAAAGTAATAAAAATTGAAGGCAAAACTATACTAACAACAATACCACCATCAGTGGTAACAAGAGTTATATACTATCATTTAAAAAATATGTATTAGTATGTATTTTACTGTTCTTAAATTTTATTATCAATAAGCAATTTTTGAAACCTATTCCACTTAATTTCATTTTTCTGATTACGAAACAGATGTTAATAAGGTGAAGGTCAACATTAGTTCTAATGCTATTTTATCTCTTCTTACGCAGACATCTAATATCTATCTCTTTCAGACTTGTAGACACATACAAGTGGATGACATTCAAAGGCGTTACTTAACCGTCTTATATTTGTACGAGTATATTGGCGTCTGCATTACTTATCAGTGTACAAGTAAATATCCATTCATTTCAACAGATGCGTGATCCAAACGTGCAGTTAATTCATGTTTATCAGAAGGAAGTGTGTCGTACATTTAGAATTCATCTATCAAAGTATTAATAAAATATAAGTAATGTTCCTAGTATGCGATGATAATGCAGTATAGAACAAGTAGATTGTGTTCAACATTACTCATGAAAGTAATTTACATGATAAATAAATAATGTTTCAAGACGAACATGATAAAACCTCGTTTAGTAAATTCAGATATCAAACCTGTTTTATTCATTCGACAGCAGTTATATTAGTATATCTACAGTCGTTCCATACGTAATATTAAAAAATTTCATCAACTTAAAATGAATATTAAATAAGAATGCTTATATGCAATAGAATTTTTTATATTATTATTCTAAGCATAAGATATTCTTACGTCATTTAAAAATAAATAAAAATATTATTTCCTCTATAGCGGGGGCTTCTTTTATGCAGTTATTTGTAGTTCCTTACTTTACTTTTCATTTCCTTTTATTATTATTAATAACTTGGTATACATATATAGAGAAAACAAAGGAAAATAAAAATATACAACATTATTCAAATTTTAAGAACAGAATACATAAATAAATTTCATATAAGTTTGATATATAAAACTATTTATTTGTTTATTCATATAATTATAATGGATCACGATAAATTAACAATATCTTTCGAAATTAATATCAATTCAACTTACGCTTTACTTGAACAAAATTTAATTGAGATATTATTGATTTCATTGCTACAACTAGTAGGGCTATAACTACAAAAAATATTGAAATCGAAACTATTATTAAGTTAATTTCGTAGTACTCAGTCCAACTCATATGGGCGCCGCGAGCTCTGAGGTGAGCAGCACCTTTATGTCGTATCACGTATTCCGTCCACCACACAGCCTTCTCAAGAGGAGTCTGTGTTTCATCACGCATAATCTTACGCAGTCTAATAACGTTTTCACGATAACTAAAACACGACAATAATAAGATAGGAAATCTAAGAATATTGTATATACATACAACGTGTATGTTGACTTACCTCGAGTTGTTTATGACAGTCATTATGGTTTCTTTAAAAGATTTTTCATTGAGATCCTCGATGAGCAATTTTCTTCCTATACCATGATATTGATATTGCTCTGCGTTATACCACTGGTCTCCTAACATTGGTATTACAACGAGGGGCACTCCGGCTGTGAGAGCCTCGTCAGTAGACTGAAGTCCTCCTTGCGTGATAAATAATTTAATATTGGGATGACCTGTAAAAATACATATTGAAATATAAGAAAATTTTATTAAACTAAAAAAATCCACACCCACACATACACATACACACACACACGCACACACACACGCACACACACACACACACACACGCGCGCACTTGTTACACCCTAACACTCACGTCAACATCGATGTTGAACTTCTAACCTCTTTTTGCGTGGGGGGCTAGAAAAGCTCTTAAAAAATTATTTAAGACCAAAATAAAGATCGGTCTTTAATGAGTTCTGTTTAAATTCAGTATATGTATAAATGTTTATTCAATATACAATGTGCACAGTTCAGTATTATAAAAAATATTTGAATGGATGTACCGGTTTCGAGAACGTTTCTTTTTTCTATCGAAACGTAAATACATATATATTTTGTGCCAATATTTGTCTGCGTCGAAATATTTCTTGAAATTTATTTAAATATTGCAGAATTATGTACCAACCAAGTAAGTCTGATTGTGGAAACCATTTTGAAATTAGAACATTTTTAGAATGTTTAGGAGCTTTGTCATTATCCCATCTCCACAAAATTTTATAAGGAAGATCAGAGAAGACGTTGGTAATTATTTTAATTCTTTCTGGTGGTAGTGCTGACGGCAAAACATTAGTCCCAAAACTCATATAAATGACACCCTCGCTGGATGAATCTAAATAATGCTTTAAATCCTGAAACAAAATAAAAATAAAAATTTAAATATTTTTTTAGTAATCATATTATATTATATTTATTCATTTATATTATAATATTAGAGTAAATGATTTTTAATGATAGCAGTGAAACCTTTTATATTTTTTTTATTTCATATGTTAGTCTTCCAATTAAACTCGTATATAATATATATATGTTTTTTAAATGAGATCTAATTTATTCATTCTAAAAGTATATTATACTTCCTAATGTCAAAGGAACTAAATAAGAAGTGTACATAATTTTAATAAATGTCCATATTTTATAGAATCTTTCGTCAATATTTTAGTAATCAATATTTTCAAATTTCCATATAAAAAAGGTAGAAAGTAAAAAATTCAAACAAAAATATGTTCATCTAGACGTATAAAATTCTTATTTCCTGTCTTAAAATTTACTCTGCATTTTTATAATAATCTAAATTTAAATATAAAGCGTAAGCTAACAATGCTGCTCTTACACTAGCCTGCACTAAATCAGAAAATATTATTACAGCACGGTTTTATTAAAACTTTATTATAATTGCACTAGTTTACTGACTTTTATTATTATTTTATGAATTGTTTTTTATTTTAAATTCAAGAATAACTATGACTTAAAATAATACTTATAGCAAGACTATCACATAAGTTAAAAGTGAATATTTTTTAAACTTCATTGAGAGTTAGTAGAAAAAAGACGATATAAAGTCAGCTCAAATTAATAATTTATTCAAATGTATCAGAACGTATCATTTCTGTTGCCATTTTAAATAATAAATAACTTACGGCATTCATATGACAAGAATAAAAACAAACGGCAAAAAAATCATACCAAATTAGAAATTTTGTGATTAGGATTGAGTTTTAACTTTTTAAACTCTATAAAATTGTAATGTCTTTTTTTTATAGAGCTGTAAATGAGCATATTTTTGTTATATGATTACCACCATTAAAGCAAGATATGGCTTCAACTAGCCGACACATTTCTGATAATACTATATCTTATGATACATTAATGATTGAGTTCGAGTATATACAACTGGAAGTTAAAGAGAACTTCGTGTAATTTTCGAGAGATATCAGGACAAAATGGGGTGAATTGTAAACAACTGCTTTCAACCGTGGACCGTTTTAAGCGGAAATAAAAATGTTACTCTTTATAACTGTATTCTTAATGATTATCCCATTCTGAGAAATATAATATAATCAACAATAAATTGATATTCAGTTTACTAATATAAAATGAATGAATATGAATGTGTGACGCCATATCCCGATAGTTGCAGTTATAAATCCTACTCGTTAATGATTTAAATTATAGAATATGTATTACAATAAATATTAAGAGTTTTTGTTTTTAAGTTATAATCTTGTTTTAATTTCATTGATTGAAATACTGTTTTGAATATTATAAACTTCTTTCTTGTTATTATTATACTAGCACTCAACAAAATATTCATATTTTGTTTTTCTGTTTCTATTAAATTTCTAATTCTTGATTTGGTTGAAAAAAAATCTATTTATAAGTGGTTAATTTTAGATCTATATTTTTAATAGAATGGTAAATCGTTGTTAACTAGATAACATTGTTGCAAACAATCTATCTTTCTAAGATGTTATAATTTTTTTGTTACACATTACATTAATCTTAATTCATAGATAAAAGCCATAATAAGGAGTTATTATGTATTTTAAAATAAGTGTTGTACTTAAATATATATATATCGGTATTGTGTTTTCATACGAGTTTCATACGATAATAAACGTTGAGGTACGTACCTTGGGTAATTCCTTAACCAGTTTTCTTTGCAAGTGCAAACCTCCTAAATATAAAACATTAGGCGGAACAGGTCGGTTGAAGTCCCATACAGAATGTATATTCAAAAAAAGCATATCAACATTCTTTTTTAACTGTTGTAAATCTGGTGTATTGGGTCCAAATAAAGTTTTTAGTAAATTATTTTCCATTATTTCTAAGTTTTTATATGCACTACCAATGCCATAATAAATATATAACTGATATATTTTTTCCCACATTGAAAGCTGATAGGTTTTTTGTTGATTTGCAATTGGATAAAGCAATGGATGTATTGGAGAAACAATGTCGTCAAAAGTGCCATATAGGCCACCCAGAGAACTTATTTCAATTAAAGGCGCTTTGAATAAATATGAAAAAACTAATGATAACCTTATGCAAGATTCAGTGAACACTAGGTCAAAATTAATATTTTTATCATTTAAAAGCTTTTGCACTAATGGTGTTTTTATTTGTTTCTCGAAAACCACAGCAATTTTTTCAAAAATGACTTTCGCTTGATGTCTTGGGTCACCAACATTAAACTCGCCAGATGTAGTTAATTTAGTCCATATATCATAAGACAGGTCATGCAAATCGATTTCAGTCAAATTTTTTGGGCCTTGACCGGTGGGATAAATAGGATCTGTTGTAATAACTACAACTTCATGACCACGGTTGACTAATTCTTTCATCAGTGGTTGAAAAACCACTTGGTGACTTATTGAAGGTGTAGGAAAAACTCCCAAAATCCTAGCTGCTTCTATTTTAGATATCACACAAGCACTTAATAGTATAAAAAACATTTTTTCATAAAACATCTAAACAGATTCGAGATGCTAGCACTTATGTATATTCATTAACTACTGGTATGATGTATGATTCCTTATTATCTTATATAATAGTTGATGACATAATGCCCTAAGATAAAATTATCTAGAATTACATGCAATTTCAATAATGTCATACAATTAGATTGTTAAAGTAGTAGTTACGTTGATCTATTAGTGTCTCCAGGAAATGTAGTGTCTTCCAAAACGTTAGGATTTTTAATTAGAAATGGTAAACACTTCACAAATAACACAAAAAAAATAATCTATAATGCTTACGTGCGTAGTGTACTGGAGTACGGTAGTGTGGTATGGAATCCTGGTTACAATGTACATCGTCTGCGTATAGAGAGAATACAGAAGCGATTTGTATACCATCTATCCAGAAACAAAAAATTCTCATACAATAAACTTAATAAAAATTACTGCAATCTATTGAAAGATCTCAATATGGATAGTCTCTCTGTACGCAGACAATTGTTAGATCTTTTATTCCTTTTCAAGTTAATTCGTAGCGAGGTCGACTGTACCTGCTTACTTAATGAGATACACTATCGTATTCCAAGGAGCAATGCGCGCACTTTTCTAGGTACCTTTCATATTAGAATGTCAAAAACTAAATTAGGAAGTAACGCCCCTATGTCTAGATCATCTCGGCTATACAATATTTTAAGTCAAGATCTAGATATTTTTAATAACTCTGAAAAGACATTTCGTAAACGGGCGCTGAAATTATTGAGAGATGCAAATGAATAAATAAATAAATAAATTATAAATGTTTAATTATAAATGTTTAATTGTTATTTGTATTAATTTAAGTTTGTATTGTTTTGAATATTTTTAGTAATTTTTATGAATGAATTTACTTATTATTATTATTGTTATTATTATTATTATTATTATTATTATTATTATTATTATTATTATTATTATTGTTATTACTATTGTTATTATTACTATTATTATTATTATTATTATTATTTAGATCTTCTCGATATAATTAAATGTTAATATATTTTTAAAACAATGTGATCGTTGTGGCCACTTTAAAAAGCTACACATGGTACCGGTTTCCGTTTAATTGTGTTGTATTCGAAGTTTAAACATGTAGTAGCTGCTAGTGGCCCTCAAAATAAATAAAATAAAATAAAATGTAAAATAAATATAATTTTTATTCGAGGCCCATCCAAATTTCATTTGATATCATGTATCGGAAATAAGACATACCTTTTAAATATTTTATTTTATGAAAATATGGTTCTTCATAATTTAAGAATATCAGATGTGAATCAACAAATCAACCTGGAATTAAAAAGATACTCAATTGTTTTGACTCACATAAAATCATTGTAATAGAGGCAATAACTAATGAATACTTCAGGAAATAATAACTTCAATGAAATTATAAATACACGAGTTAAATATTTTAAGTGGTTCCTGATATTGCAATCGTTTTTAAATTAACTTTTAGGTGATTATAAGGAAACTCTTACACAAAAAATATACATATATTTTTATTTTTTCAAAGTAGAATCCTATTTCACAATGACAACGAAATTAATATTTTCATGGGGATGTGGATGAGTTTTACAAATACATTTTACATTGTAATTGAGTAGATTTCATTGTTCACATTACTTTTTGGTTATCAACATATATTATTATCATAGTATCATCTGTTTATGTCTGTTATTGTTATGTAATGTATCAAAAGTCGTCTGTAAATGTTTTTGTGCCGGGTATTTCAGAAGTAAAATATATATATTTTTTTTATATACATAGTGATATCGAATTACTTTTATACCATATATAATAAAAAACAGCATGCATAAAAATGTTGAGAAAGCCGTAGTAATAAATTTTTAAAATATTGATGAAACTGAGCTAAATAAATTAACTAAAATATTGTCAGTCAGTGATGGCCTAGTGATTAATAGGCCCGCCTCTCATACACGAGGGCGCGGGTTCGATCAAGTACCAATGTGATTTTTACGAATCATATGTACTTTCTAAGACTATTTAGACATCACTGATTCATTCTGATTCCCAAAAGAGGGTTGATGTCACTCAGGCGGCCGATCGTAAAACAATTAGCCAAAACTATTCACAACATGTAAGGCAGATCCTGGCTAAAGCTGGGAAATTGCCAGGTAGAAGAAGAAGATTGATGAAACTGAGCTATGTAAATAGAATCCTTTTTTTTGTTTAAGCGTATTTTGTTTTTTTTTATAATGCAATATACATATATTAGGATTGTTCATAATTAACTTATTTTGTTAATTATTTAAAATTTAATAATTTTTTATATGTTTGTTCGGTTTGATTGTGGTTTTCATGAAAAGAAACTTAAAGATATTCAAAAAGTCTACGTG